CATCAATAGATTCTGTATATGTCACAACTGGTATTAAATATTACTTAATTTTGAAATTTTATAACACAAAAATAATTATACCTTATATCGTAAAGTACATTGTAGAAATAATATGTTAAGARYTGTTTAAATAGAAAAAGTGTTACATTTTGAAAGATTCGTATAACACTTAAATATTATTATTAATTAATTATTATCATACCACAGATTCCATCATTTACTCGAGATGATGGTATGACAAGTGATGTGTGACCAGCATTGGTACAATGAAATGTGCCATTAGGACAAGCTGAAGTACCCGGTTCATCACTAGCATCTGGACAATCACAGTAATCATCATTTACTAACGAAAAAGGAATTATATAACTTCCGTCAAAACACGAAAAATCTTTGTCTGGTACATAAAGTGAAGCTCCTTAAAAAAATAAATACCAATTTCAATGAATGTAGTTCTATTAGTAAGATTTAGTCATAAAAAGTATTAAAATATTATGATATGTAGGTAGCCTTACGTTCGAATGCGATGCCTCTAGGCTTCACTATATTTGTACAATTAATTACAGTGAATATACCGCAAAAAATAGAAATAATTAAATAACAATTTTCCATTTCAGTCATATTAAAAGTTAAAGACAACTAATAAATCACATTAGTCATAACAAAATACAATTATTAATTAATAAATTAATAACAACACTATCTGACATCTGCAGCTTGTTGTCGATGATTGTCGGCGTGACGGCGTCAGGCACTCAGATGTTATCACTAATAGTAATCTTTTATCACCGTATTGATAAAAATTTATAATTCATCGAATAAAAAACTCAAATAATATATCTTAGTTTATCTGTGGTTTATGCTTCGAGTTATAACCACAGATTATATAAAACCTGTGCTATAACCATAGATAATAGAGTAATTACTGTATGCCATTTTTTTTTTTTTTAATAATACAGTAATTACTGTATGCCATAGATAATATAATATAATATTCTTATATTATCTATGATCGTATTTTGAATAATTGAGATATTTTATTCGGTTACGTTGGCATACATGTAAGAAGTTAGCAATAAAAATATCTTATCATTTTTCGTACAACTGTCAACTACCCCTTAGATCATTTACTAGTATATACTATATTATCTAAGAACTACCCTGAACCATAGCAGCTGATGATAGAACAAGCCGGGTTACGAGTTACTGCCTTACTGGTACGAGCAGCCACAAAATAACGGCAAGGGGCAAGGCATATTTTTTATAACAATGAAAAAATGAATGTAAGGCTTGCTGCACAGGTTTATCTGATAGTGTGGGAGATGCATTAACGTACCTAAGTAATGAGGATCCTGAATTTAAAGGATGTTGTCCTACAGCACAATTCTGTAAAATGATGAACAATGCATTTGATATATTAAATAGTAGACGTTTATTTTCAAAAAACCCATATAATAATGCAATTACAAAGGACACATTCACAAAATATCAAGAATTCACCAATTTATTTTCAGAATATATACAAAAATTAAAGTTCTTAGATGGAACACTGATTATTACATCAAAAAGAAAAACAGGATTTAGAGATTTATTAATGGGTTTATATCCTTCATTGGAATTGTTTGAACTCCTGCAAGCAAAGGGCCACATGAATTTTCTTCTTACTTATAAGTTAAGCCAAGATCATTTGGAAACATTTTTCAGTGCTATACGTGGTAAGAGCGGGTATAATAATAATCCCACATGTCGGCAATTCCAAGCAGCATATAAAAGGTTACTAGTTCATAATGCTATAATAGGMTCTGAACATGGTAACTGTGCGTTATTAGAAAAAACAAAAATACTAACTACTACTGGAATTATTCAACAGACGATAGCAATAGAAAATGGTAATAATGATCATGATTATTATCAAAGATTAATTAAACTAAATTYCTGCATTGAAGATATAACTATGTACATAGCAGGATTGGTAGAGTGTGATACATGTAAGAAGCATTTAATCACAAACGCCAAGGCCAGTAAATTAGGACAAATTAAGGATCGAGGGGCACTCATGAAACCAGGCGCGTAGCTAGAAATTTCTAAGGGGGRTGTTATTCAAAATTAATTGAAAAAATTATAAACACAAAATTGATAACTTTACGTAGGTATACGATAGTTCATCATGATAATCAAATAATCAATAATTAAGAAGTTGTAAACGTTTTCTTGCACGCTGCATTAAAAGATAGGTATATTAAATCGTGCATGACACGAGTAATCRATAAAACGTCACAGAACGGTCTAAAATAGTAATTAATGCCGGATCCCGTATTTAGTGCTTTACATTATTGTTATCGTAATATAAACTAATACACCTACTTCATTTTGATAAATAAGTGTAAATCATGATTTAAGATAATTCGTGCTTATGAATTTATGATGCATCTTTATCTTGATAAAAAAATATCAAGTATACCACGACTGATGGGGGGGGGGGGGTTATTACACCTGTAACACCCCCCCTGGCTACGCGCCTGCATGAAACCTAGTCTAGATGTCCAAACAATTTGCATAGAAACAGAAAAAGTATTTAGAGGATACATCAATGAAATCATGAATGGGCGGAAAACATGTAATTTTATTGTAATGAAAGTGAAAAGAAATTAATTAGGATTTTGATAATATGGGGGGGGGGTTGACCCACTATACCACTGTGTACATACACATACATGTGACCTACGCCACTAAATACATCTATTATATGGTTTAATTATTCGATTAATTATACTATTGTACCTACAGCAAACCTGAAATAATAATATTGGAATATATATGTGGTGATCAGTGTCCCTATAAGTTGATTAGGTAGGTAGGTATAAAAAAACATTTAAATTATGTAAATGTTAGTACTAATTACTATAGATCTATAAAAGMTTTTATAAAATTATTTTAAAGGCAATTTTTAAAATTGGTCAGAAAATATAGACGGTTTGTTTGGTAATAATTTTGGATTTACTTGCTCCTGCCCTCTGTCTTACATTCTTATTGAATTGCAATATATAATATTGTACAAAGTGTACAACGCACAAGCTACCATATAGTGATGATCATATGATTATTTTATAATTATAATAATTATGTTTATTAAATCTGTTGTATTTATTTGTTGTACCTCAATTGTTATAGATTATAGTAATCTATATAAATATATAATTAAAAATTATTGTCGATTAACGACCGAAATTACATAGCCTTTTCGAAAATATTCGTAAAATAAGAAAAAATGTAATCACTATTTGGCCAAAAAGATACCTCCAAGTGAATGGAGATACAGGACCACTAGAGGGTCAGAAAGTAATAATAAAAATAAAGTATGATAAATTACATGCAACCGAGGCAAGTTGTGGGTTATAGTGAATCTACTAGTGTGTTGGAAACAGGCTTTGGAGCAATAGAAAACACTTCAATTCATCACGCTGACAGTGTAGTCTCCGGCATAAGCCCTTGTCAGCCAAGAGTTTTTAAACCGTCAACTCTTTTCGCCAAGACAGCCTAATATCTTAACCGTTGAATTAATGGTTTCCGTGACGGTGAAAAACAGAAGAAAAAACGATACATTTTATTATGAAACAAGTAAGTAATTCAAACAAATAATTATGCGGTCAACCTGATTGTTGTTGATTTCGTTCACTTTTATCATGTCTAAAGAAGCGATAAAACTACTAGACAATACGGATTCATGAATCATGATTTATATGTAAGTACTTTAAACTTCTTTACTATTATCTATTCATCAGGTTTGTTTTTGATTAGTTATTGACATGGAAAATTTTCAGTGCAGTGTAATTATTATCCCATTAAGATAAGTAAAATTAATATTTATTATTATGAGTTGGATAAAAGAAGGATTTTTCCTTTGACTGAAAGGTCTCTTTTATTCATGACTCATACATCATTATTATATTATATATATAGTATATACGATATGATATATAGTATTTAAGAACCAATTGTGTTTTTATTTGTTGTATCTATTCTTTGATAATTAAATCATCAGGATTGGTAAGTACTAAGTTGTAATATTTAGTCTTTATAAAACATTATCATTATTTATTTATTTGGACCACACCAGATCCTTTCGAGAATTATTAAAAACCAATACTATTGTAAGTTTGCTAGCTTATTAAATTGATTGGTTTGAAAAAATTGATAGAAGTTAACGGCTTACTGGTATAGTGGAATACATATATAAACTATACAGTGGTTTTGGCTTGTAAAAAATGCGTATTAAAAAAAAAAATTAAATTATGTCACTTTTACCAATATAATTAAATATGTGTATTACCGTTTAGGCAGGCAATAAATTGATGGTATTTGAACCTTTTTTTTTAGTTAAAAAATACGTATTCAATTATATCACAATATCTTTGTGATCTGTGACACAAATGATGCTTAAAAATATACGATTATAGATAATATTTTGAATGTGTTGCTGGTAAAGTATAATTGTAATATTATTCTACACACTGTCATTCAAATCACAATAATAACTTAATATATAATTAAATTTTTTATTTGATCTTAAATCTTAAATGGTATAAGAACTAGATAGTATCAAATTTTATTTCATATTATGGCTGGTGAAATTCTTTATTATCTTTAAAAAATATTGACTTAAAAGAATTTTATTGCGAAAAAAATACATTCGAAGAATGAGAGAAAAATATATACTTAATACAATATGGAATTTCCATAAATATTAAATTATTTTAAAAATTGTTAAAAAAAAAAAACTATTTAGTTATAGTTTTAAAATAATTTATAAGAAACAGAAGAAAGTGATTTAAAAATCTTAGTTTGATTATATAAACTTTTGTAATATTATTATTATAAATGAATAAACTTGCTAAATAGAGAAACTTGGTTTTGAAAAGCATAAAAATGATTAAAATGTGTGTAGGTATAATATGTAATTATAAAGATCGTATTTATAAATTACACTGAAACAGTTTTTATTTTTAGAAAAGATTAATGAATAGGTTAATGATAAAAATAAACAAGTTGGAAAAGCTCACATTTCGAACATGCTAAATATCCGGTTTCACATCATATTTTTACACAATTCAATAAATAGTACTATAATGCCATATACATTACTGACAATACTTATAAGTTATAACTATTGACAAGAAATAAATATCTCATCATCAATAATCGTAACTATTTATAAGTAACTTACGGGCGTGGGGACGGACATAACAGGAGTAAAGGATATTTTTAACTGTTTCAGAACCTAAAAGTAGTTAAATAGCTTATACAATAGATAATATAATGAACTTACTATCAATTGAAAAATGTGATAATTACAATAAAAATAATATTATAACAATAATAAAATTAGGATTAGGTGGTCATGAGTAATTTGGTAATGTATTTATTGAATATTGATTTTCTAAATTTTTGAGCTGAAGTTAACAGTTATTATTTCAGGTTTATTATTGTGGATTAATGCACAATCTATAAAATAATCATTAAGTATTAATTTAAAATAAAAACAGATTAATTCAGAATAAAATAACATTTAATGAACATCAAATTACGATTAATTAGGTAGGTAACATTAACTTATATGAATAAATATTTGTATGTATGTATATAAAAGAAAAGATTAAAATAAGAAAAACTTAACAAAATTTTATAAATAACTATACATGTTTCATGATGATAAAATTATGAAATTGTGTATACAACAAGAATAAAATAAACAATAAATATAATTATTCAACACTACAAATATTAATTTGTTCACAAACGTGTACTTTACTAATTTATTTACAAAAATAAAATTATTTTGAAAAATTAATGTTCGTCTATTATTTTTATAACTTAGTGCCAATTAAAAAAAAAAATTCACCTTTATTTAAATTTAATATTTCCTTAATGATTATAAGTTATTAGTAAATGTACGATCAATGTTGTTGTAACAGATCGTAATATTTGCTTTACTGTATTAAATTTATCAAGTACCTATAGATACGTACATAAATATTTTTATTTTTATTTATTTTACAATGTTTGAATAATTGCGTAAAGCATAATTATAAGTATAAACGTTCATTTTGCAGATTAATACATAATTTATTTTACATGTTTTTAATTATGTTTATGTATTGCAATCTTATAAATAAATTAAAACATATTCAAAAACAATGTTAAGTATAAATTTTATCTATACAATAAAAATTATACTGTATATGTATAAGGGTTAACAATTATGTATGAAGTATACCTAAATTCAATTTTTGTAGTGTAAATTATTTGTTTTACAATTATGTAGGTACCTATATTATATTATATAATTATAATAATTATTAACTATTATATGCATGCATTTATACAACCCAACAATTAATATGAATGAGACAAAATATGGAGTAGGCATATAATATGTATTGACCAATAGTYTGCATTGGTGTTTTTATTATCTATTTTTGGTTACTGTATAAAAATGATATTTTGTATAGAAGCAATCTAATAATAACTGATATTAATAGTTGTTTGTTATTATACATATGACTGTGTACATATATTCCACGATTTCAAAATTTATAGATTGTTTGTGTTTATAGATAACTTTATATTATGCACTGAAGCTATTCAATTATTTCAATACTTGAATAAAATATTTTGTACAAAGCATTATGTAGAATTCAATATTCATTTTATAAAATATTTTGTTATTTCGCCTTAATAATATTTAGTCATTTAGTATTTAGTAGACTTTCTAAATTGCCTATTATTAAATAGTTTAATTGGCATTACATGCAATACAATATATTATGTATTTTATAATAATGATGATGACTTATTGCCTATTGGTTTTAAATATGTTACATAACTTATTATAATAAAATATTTGGCGGTTGAAGATCATTGGTAATAGAATGTTAAAAGTAGCAAATATAATTTAACCAATATTCAATTCTAATTTTAATATTTTATTTTATAAATTGACTGTTAAAAATAAATTTATAGTTTAAGTATTTAGGTATTGCGTATAAAGCTATAATTATGGACATTTTATTAAAATATAAAATAAATTATTTTGTTGTTAATTGTGATGTGTAAAGCAGTTTTAATATTACTTGTATTTACTTTAGTTTTAAAAAACCACGTTAATAATCGATAAATTAAATTGATTTTATTTTTCTGTATAATATATTCATTATATTCTCAAATTGGTTAGCAAAAAAAAAAAAAATAATAATAATAATAATAATTTAAAATTTATTATTTCAGTATTAGAGTTAAGTACCATAAACTAATTTAGATACTCCCGTGTTATGTGGCTTTGCTTTGGTCTCTGACTTAACTTAATTACACTTTAAGGTTAAGAAAAAAAACAGAATGAATATATGGTTACATAAGTTATGAATGTATTTATGACCGAACAACCAAGATGAGTTTTTTTGTGCACTTGTTTCAAAAATAAATTTTTAAATTTAATTTTTATGTATTTATATCTATTGATTCGATTTTAAGATACAACCGAAGTACTGATTTCGTTGATAATGATTTTTTTGACTTTGGTGCAATTATATTTTAATACCTACTCAATGGTTTTAATTATTTTAATACTTGGGGCACCATTGCACCAATTATTAGTTAAAATAACTATAACTGTTGGAAGACAAAATATTGTTTGAAGTGTACAATTATTTTTATCTTTAAAGTGATTTCTGGATAGCATAGAATAAATAGTACAACATTTAGTTTTACATTTTTGAATATTGTTAAAAATAAGTATTGGGGACAACACATTATGCCTATAGCTTTTGGTATATTTTAAAAAGAACTGTTAAATATTATAGAGATTTATAATATAAATACTGGTTTGAGGATACAGTTATTGCATAGCTGAAAATATAATATGAGTAGATTAGATATTATTATGTAGCAATACAAATACATTTGTACAATTAAAAAGTTTTTAGTATTTTACAATTTATAGTTTATTTATAATATTATAATACAATATGTAAATCACGTGCTAATAAATAACACCAAGCCGACGCTGAGGAATGATAGTGAAGACTTCAAACTGAGCTTTGAACCTTTTTGCATAGCCGCCGGATGCTCTCCTGTAATCAAAAATTTTTTCCAAATAAAAGTTATTTTATGTATTAAGGGAAAAAGAAATTTCAATCTAAATTCTAAAAAAACACAAAAATAATACTGCATTCAAAAATATTAAGATTCATTTTAATGCATGATCGACGATAGTTTTTGGTAGAGCATGAACAACCACAAGTGTCACAGATAGAACACCGAATACCACTGAAAGTAAAATATGGAAAATGGTATGTGGTTTGGTACTTGAAAATTAAATGAGAATTACAAAAGGGAATGAGAATGGCATCTGTCAATTATTTCTTAGAAAGTCAGAGTATAATGAACGCAGAGAATGCAGCAATTATACTAGTTATGGTTTGGAAACTGGAATGAAAAATACCACTAGTCGAATCAAAATAGGTGAATCGATGTCACAGAAAAAATTCTAAAATTAGTGAAGTATTATAGGAACTAACTATATGTATTATAATTGCACAAGACTGAGAGAAATAGGCTAATCAGTATTATGGTTGAAGTCGTAAGAAGAAGACGATGGAGAGATTACTAATCTATAAGTTAATTATGTTTATTTCTTATATTATATATTTGGTCTACTGGTTTTTTTAAATCGTAAAATATATGTCAGTAAGTCTTGAATAATTGTATATTATAATTTATTAGTTATAGTAAACGATGGGGGCCGGAGGAGAAGTATAGGCAACATAGTTCCTTCTCCGGTCCTCGGTACCATAGAAAAAAAAAAAGTACCTAATTTGAAATAAAATCAAATTTTAACAAAAGGCATATAAAAAATTATTTAGTAATATATTGTGAATGTAAAAACGTACATTGAAATGTACGCTCAAGAATGGAAATATTATAAAAGGCATACAGCGTAAGAAAAAGTTTTATTCATAATAATTAATTTCTATTATTATTGTACATTTCAAAACTGCAACTCTATTGTTTTGTATTAATTGGTATAGTAAAATTAATTTATTGCAAGATTATAATTATATTGAGGCAATCAAAAAAATTTTGTTGAATTTAAATATAGTCATAAATAAATTTAATAAACCTAATACTGTTATGTTTTATTTTATGGTATTTTAAAATGCAAATAATTATATTATGGTATTATATTCATGAAGATGACTCACATAATAATACTCATTATGTAATATTAAATAGTGTGTGATACTATTAACTATAATTTATCAATGAGGTATTCCCAATTTTGTTACAAGTGATAATGTAAATCGGCATTTATGAGAAACATGAATTAAAAATTCAAAACTTAGTGTATAACCCTTTTTTTGTTGTTAAATGCCAAAAATAAAATATCTTATCTCAATATATTCATTTTTAGACATTTTTTTAAGGTAATATATTATATTTTTTTAATTTTTGTTAACATGATATCCCTACAATCATAAAATTAATATTTGTATAATATCTCAGTTTTTATTTGTAAAAATTTGAACGTTATAGTTTATAAATTTGTTAATTATAATCAGACACAAATAAAACATCCGACTTTTGTCTTAAAAATAATATTTTTAATATTATCTCCATGAATACAAACACGTGAAAAAAAATTCGTAATGATTAGAATAATTTATTTTGTTGTTGTTTATTTTTTTGCGAGAAATAAAATCAACAAAATATAAATTGAATTACCTTCTTATAAAGTATTTTTTATTTTTTTATTACAATTCACTCGACGTCGAAATGAATTTTCTAATAATCTGAGTAATAACAACTGAGTCTTAACTGTGTAATGGACACATTATGAAAACTTCACTATGGCATATAACTAGAAAAATCGCATCGTTTCTGATATATTTTAAATCCGTGAAATGTCTGTTTTTTTGCTATTAAACAACAGTAGTATTAGGGTGTGTGTACACGGATATTCAGTTGTCACTTTAATTTCATCCACATTGATTGCACAGGTATAACTACACACCAATGTACCGAAATTGCCTATACAACGCGCCGGCCAGTGGACATAAAAAAATATCGAGATCAATAATTTATTTATTTAGGAATTACTATTATAATTTACTTAACCAATATTACTCAATTTATGACCTTATTCTAAAATTAAGGTTCATGTGTGATGTGTGTATTTGTAGATTTGGAACAATTATTTTCTTGGGCAGTACTTTCCGGACGTTGTAATAATATAATGTGGATTATTATAGGTACACTATATTTATGATTTGAACTCAAAATAAAAATATAGGAACTTAACCTCATAATATGCCTTCATAATAAAATGTTATATTTCAATGTTGTATATGGATTTAATTTCAAGTACCTATACGAATATATGTCACCGCACTTTTATTAGTTTGTTATGGTTGGGATAGGTATTTGTCTAATTTTATTTATAGACATCATACTATAATTTTAACCCAGGATCATTAGTTTTTTGAATTTTTTTAAAATTTGAAACAAAAATTATTGAAAGAATTTTTTATACAGATTTTTGAACATTTTACTGTGTAAATGTTATGTATAATGTTGAAATATTTTTGTATTTTGAGTGGGTATATTACATAGTCTTACAGTTATAATATTATATAAACAATTTCAAAAATACATTTTTTGGTTTAATATTTTATAGAAATTTTACTGGAAATATAAAATAATCCGAAGCGAAATAACATAATTTAATGTTTATATATGTTTGTATGGTATTTTTGAAATAATTTTCAAGCAGATTCTATTACATAGAAATAGGTAAAAAAAAAAAATGCAAACATATAACTATAATATATAGTTATCTATTATAATTGATCGATACAATTTTAACGTTTAAATTTAATTATTTGCGTATATTATTATCACAATACCGTTGCCAAGTTATCGAACCCTTGAATGTTGATTAAATTACAATAATTACCATTAAGAACATGTACAACGACGGTGTGAGGATTTGCGTTGCTTGGGTGACACGTGTATTTTCCCGAATCCGTGCTGGTCGCCCTTTGTACGAGCAAATAGCTGGTGGTTACTTCGCCTTTTTCCGTGATCACACTCACCCCGCCTCTAGCCGAGTCGTAATTTATTTCCTGAAATTAAACCAGGGATTAATGGAAGACAATTACAATAAGCTCACCACAATAGTGTGCATATTATTTGGTACATAACACTTCACAATATATACTTTAATATGGATTTATTATTATTTATTATACTGAATTTAGAGTGTATTTTAAACGAACTACTTAAACATTGAATATTAAATAATTTGATACGAAAAAAAATTTTTCGAGMCACGAGAGTCGTGAAAAATGCATTACCACTGATGCTCGTCAAGTATTTGTTGTACCTGTTTCCGTTTATCAAAAATATTCTTTAGTTAATATCTATCCAAAATATGTTTATTACTATTGTTAGTTCTATACGAGTAAAGCCCACAACAACTACTTATGTAACATTATCCACATATACCTACTATAATATCATTTGACTGTAGAGATGTTACGAACCATAATATTAAAGGTCAAACCGAACCCGAACCGACATTTTCTTTAAATTAATGAACTCGAACAGATCCGAATCTACACACTTTTAATCGAACCCGAACCGAACTGAACTCTTCAAATATTTTATCGAACTCTAAYCGAACATTAAAAGTTAAATTGGATATTATTTTATTTAATATTTAATATTTATTTATTTATTTATCATTTAGCCACCATCATACTTCAGAATTATTGAATAAAGATTTTACTACTATTTACTTAAATACTTTAAATACTTTAATAGTTAATAATTATTATGCAAGATTTTTAATTTTTAATTATTAATATGATGATGACTGATAAGAAAAAGCGAAATCATCAATTTTTAGAACAAGCAAACATTAAACAACTAATATTAATCTATTAATTATTAATTATTTAATAATAATTTATAATTTTAGCCGTTACTCCATCGAATTTTATTTTTATTTCTCTGGTTCGATTATCGAACGGAACTATTAGATATTTGGTTCGGTTCGAAAATCGAACAGTTCGTAACATCTCTATTTGATTGTTTTATGTGACTTAATTTTATATAATATTTGTACAACGAYTTACACGGAGTATATTATATTGTAATAATACGTACGCATAAAATACATATACATGCATAAGTATAATGTATGTATAAATATGCATCGTAACGTATATAGCGACGAAATGAGAAAGTGTAGCGCGCGGAGAATATTTTGTAAATAAACATGACATTTAACAATACGTATCGTGAGACTATATAATATAACGCATAGAGACGATATTATCTCCGTTGCAGAGAGTATAATATTATTAAGGGCGTCCCGAGTGTCATCCGCCCCGCGGCCATTGAAATAGATACGGTCGTATAATATAACATTATTATAATGTAAGTATAATAATATTATTATTATTATGTTGAAGTTTAAAAATAACTATTTCGATGTGTGCATATAATATAGCAGCTGAAATAACTGTTTCGTTATCGCGCAGACACGCGCGTTTTCAAAATATTATACGCCAAACCGCGTAATCGTTTCGCCGTCGCCAATACATGGACGTTAAATAGGGTGGGCGCCGCAGTGTGTGTGTATATACTAACTGTCTACCGCCGTGGTATATGCGGTATATATGATAAATCGCGTGCGCATTACCACTAGTACCGCGTATTTAATACGCGTGTACACACGTCGTGTATGCGCGTATATACAATAATCGCGTACGACGACGACGTTATACTATAGAACGGGTCGGGTGTGCGAGGACGGCGTGTACGTGATGTGACCTGTGCCGGGGGTAAGTACATCGTATAATAATAATAATAATAATAATAATAATATAAGCAGCAATAGGTGTACGTGTATAACACGTACATACCTACGTATAATGTATATATGTTACACCTGCGCGTATATCCTGTACGTGCGTACACCTAATATCCACTTAATACGTTTACGATTATTTTGGCACATGCGCGTAAGTGTGTATTAGTCGGATATACTACATAGCAGTCGTCTTCGTTGTCGCCAGTTCGCCACTCTGCGTGCAACGAGCGGCGGGTCGAGCAGACGACGGGGAGACGGTCGCGCGCGATATCTGACGCGTGTGTGTACGACGGTCGTTAAGCTCGGCAGAGGTGATCGGCGATGGTGGCGGAGGGCCATCACGGATGATTAGTCTCCGGACGTTGGGGATATAAAACGGTACCTACACGCCGCACGCACGCACACATAGTGAAGGTATTACACGTGATGTTGGTTAACGCGTCGTCTCGGTTAGGAGAGGTATATTATATTATACATAGCAGTGCAGGGTGTATAATGTATATAAAAAGAAAAAGGTATCTTGACGATAAACCCGTATTTTGTGGCCTGATATAATATAATATCTGACGCCACGCGGGCCGACGTCGCCTCGGAATTGCACCACCCTAAATATATTATAGTGAATATACTTTATATATATGTATATAAGTACCTATTATAATATCGAGTATGGTCCTATAATACTGTTTTTATATACCTTTATCCACCCCCGTTTGTATATAAATGCGTATAGTTTGTATACATTAAACGCATATATATATACCTTAGCTCGCAATAGTACCGACTGAATATAATAATATAATAATATAAATAATATCGATACCACCGTGGTAATATATGCGTGACGGGCAGGAGATTGATGATGGTTTGACAGAACTACTATGATGGGGTGAGTTTGGTGGTAGGAGTTGAGGAGATGGTCGTGAATATATATTATTATTATTATATAGTTTTGGCGGGTCTCAGCGAGTGGCAATGCAAAATCCCACACAGCGGTGTAGGTTGTGTTGGTAATGGTGTTGGTGCTGGGTGTGGTTGGTGGTGGTGGTGRTGGGTCGTCGTCGACTCTCCCGTGCCTGGTCTGCGTGACGACGTATAGAGACGAACTCCCACTCACTGGACCTGCTGATGTGAGAATAATAAAAGCACGTCGCGTTGGCGGTGACATTAAGGGTAAGAAACGAAATATAAAAAGTAAACAAGTCAGGTTATAGTCAGTTGGAGAGGAAGGGATAAAAAACATTAATAAAATAATAACGATTATAAAAATATATATATACTAGCGGATCYGACACACGTTGTACTGCATGATATTTCAAGGGATTAGGATATTAAACAAAGTATGAAATGGAAGACAAATAATATAATAATTTCATTATTATTTATTTTGAAATAACATATATTTTTCTAAAAAGAATTCATAATAATCAATAATGTTTGTTTAATTTTATCTTAATGCGAATCGATGAACAATATTTTTAGTAAATTTCTGAGGGAGTATAAATGAATAAATTTGACGTTTTTCCAACGTGAGAACACGTCACATTTAATTGACCATGTGAAAAGACCGGATTTTCCAGATCCAACCCACAAATCGAAATTGTATGACCTTGTGATTTATTAATAGTCATGGCAAATGTCAAGCGAATTGGAAATCGTAGACGTCTGAATGGAATGGGTGAGTCTGAAGGAATTATTAGGATTCGTGTTATGAAAACAACTTTGCCTTCAAATTTTAAGTTCAAAATTGTAKTTTCMAGAACATTGCCCATAATTTTTTATATGGCTAGTCTTGTGCCATTGGTGCCTAGGTGCACTTAAATTCCRAAGCAGAATGATAGGTGAGCCAATTTTTAACCGCAAGTTATGTAGTGGAATTCCTGGTAAACCGAATTCAAAAATTCAACAGGATAGTAGACTGCTTCGTCAGGATTAGTAGTTTCGATGGATTTTAACAATATCTCATTGCCATGAGATATTGGTAATGACTGTTGTATTTTGAAGTTAATAGCGTCAACATCGATATTTTTTTGCTTYTAAAATGGCTCGTTTACGAAGCCACGCATGATTAATTAATTAGCTTGAAAATCTAGAAATATACTTTCAATCTAAGCATCTTTCGTATTTAATATATTGAAGAAATTATCTGGCAATTTGAYGCATTGTGATTTGTGAACCTCCATGCAATGGTATTGTTCCATTTCCAACGTTGAGCAATTGCTCGGAGAATGATAGTTCTAACGTATTGTTTTGAARTTGATCACGTATATTTAATATTTGTGTTAAGACGTAATGTACTGACATTTCACCATAGATATGATTGTTTTATACATGCATTAATTTCATCCGAGTATGTAGCGCGTGGAATGACCGGCGATGTCTGTCTAAAATCACCTGACAGCAGCAGTAAAGCCAAATCGCTTCATTGTTGCTGATGTATCGGCCCATTTGATACCGTGTTATTTCATCGTTTTCGTTAACATTTTGAACAAATACAGCCATATCACTGCTCTTATAGACATATTTACATATATATTTTATGGACTTCACTGCTTTGGGGTTCGGTCTTGACTTTCATTAGCACGCATGATTGTGGCCTGGTTTCTTAAATTTTCATTGCGCATCAATTGTACTTCTGCTGGTTTAACTGACGGTTCTGGACTAATTGTGAATTCCGAGTCCGTCGACCAATATTCGACCTCGTTTGTTGTTTTGTCGAAAATTGTACTATAAATGCTTATAAAAAATAATCGTGCCTATATATGTGTCGCTAATATKTTTAGATAACTAGGTATAATAAAACCTTGTATTACATTTTAAAGATTTTTGATAATTTTTTATTGACATTATTAGAAAAAAAACCAAGGTTACTAAACAATTTTTCATTTATTTTTGTTTTCCCGATTGTTTTAAAAAATACTAAGAATTTTCAATTTTGACCTCTCAAATTTCAAACTAAATTCAATTTGCTTCCAAAAACCCCTATCGAGGTTTATGATTAGAGCATTTTTTCTACTAGAAAAGTTGAGAAGTTGAAGTTGTACAAACATTTTCAAATACCTCACCTAAACGTCTACAATTATTAGAATGGACAAAATAAAAATAAAATAGTAATTAATTTTCAAGCTCCCCCGTTGAAAAATCCTGCGTACGCCACTGAGACGAGGCATTGTTTTATATGCGTAACTTATATGTGAATATAACACGCKCAGTATTTACGTATGTGCGATACATATAAAATCAAAA